TTTGGCCTGTATTACTGCAGCAATGCGGCGTGGCATGGAGTCGATCAGTCTGTGGCACTGCTCAGGTGTTATGATAGCCCAGGTTGCTCTAATAGTGGCTTTTAGCTCTTCTGAATTGTTGGGTCTGGTGTATTGCATCTTCTTCTTCACAATACCCCATAGATTTTCTATGGGGTTAAGGTCAGGAGAGTTTGCTGGCCAATTAAGAACAGGGATACCATGGTCCTTCAACCAGGTACTGGTAGCTTTGGCACTGTGTGCAGGTGCCAAGTCCTGTTGGAAAATGAAATCTGCATCTCCAAAAAGTTGGTCAGCTGCAGGAAGCATGAAGTGCTCTAAAACTTCCTGGTATGTGGCTGCGTTGACCCTGGACCTCAGAAAACACAATGGACCAACACCAGCAGATGACATGGCACCCCAAACCATCACTGACTGTGGAAACTTTACACTGGACTTCAAGCAACGTGGATGAAGTGCCTCTCTTCTTTCCCTCCAGACTCTGGGACTTTGATTTCCAAAGGAAATGCAAAATTTACTTTCATCAGAGAACATGACTTTGGACCACTCACCAGCAGTCCAGTCCTGTTTCTCTTTAGCCCAGGCAAGACGCTTCTGACGCTGTCTGTGGTTCAAGAGTGGCTTGACACAAGGAATGCGACAGCAGAAACCCATGTCTTTCATACGTCTGTGTGTGGTGGTTCTTGAAGCACTCACTCCAGCTGCAGTCCACTCTTTGTGAATCTCCCCCACATTTTTGAATGGGTTTTGTTTCACAATCCTCTCCAGGGTGCGGTTATCTCTCTTGCTTGTACACTTTTTTCGACCACATCTTTTCCTTCCCTTCGCCTCTCTATTAATGTGCTTGGACACTGAGCTCTGTGAACAGCCAGCCTCTTTAGCGATGACCTTTTGTGTCTTGCCCTCCTTGTGCAAGGTGTCGATGGTCGTCTTTTGGACAACTGTCAAGTCAGCAGTCTTACCCATGATTGTGTAGCCTATAGAACTAGACTGAAAGACCATTTAAAGGCTTTTGCAGGTGGTTTGAGTTAATTAGCTGATTAGAGTGTGGCACCAGGGGCCATCAATTTTGAACCTTTTCACAATATTCTAATTTTCTGATATGATGAATTTGAGATTTTCATTTGTTGTCATTTGTAATCATCAAAATTAAACAAAATAAACATCTGAAATATATGAGTTTGTATGTAATGTATGAATATAATATACAAGTTTCACTTTTTAAATGGAATTACTGAAATCAATCTACTTTTTCATGATATTCTAATTTTATGACCAGCACCTGTATGTCAGCATACAAGTTAGAATGCAACTAACCTTTTCTTAGAGTTATACCTTAAAATTATATATTGGTAAACAGCACAAAAACATAAAATATACACCTTGTAGACAAAATATACACATCTGTATGTTTGATAAATATTTGCTGCATTTGTTGCTATGTCATCGTTTGAACGAAATATAATGAGCTTTGGATTAGCAAGCTGTTTGGTTTTTTTTTATCTGCTAAATTTTAAGATAAACATCCAGTAAACCTTCTTTTCATCTGATAGATCTGATGTTTCCTTCAAAATATACAGATAAGTAAATACTTAACTGTGAAGGAAAAATATCTTATTTATATATTGAAATATATATTAATTAATATACAGGTAACCAGCTCCATGGTTATTAGGAATCTTTTATTATTTTTTTATTGTGGTAGCATATTCGCAAAAAAAAAAAAAAAAAAAAAAAAAAAAAAAATCAATCTTTAGTTGTATGAAATCAAAATGTATAGGAAAATAAAACTCCTAAAGATTCAATTCAAATAAATGTTAAATTAGATTCTTTTATTTTTACTGTACTATTATTATATTGATCAAAGGCCGGGAAATTTATAAAAGCAGTTCATGACTTCCTTTTTCCCTGAATTGTAAATATGACATGACCCAAACGGCAGCTTTGGAAGTGGGCAGTAAGGCAGAATTGTTAAAGTCTAATGGAAACAGCTACTTGGCTAAACTGATTTTATCTACAGGCTGAGCAGCATTTTCAAATCAGAAACCAACTGAAAGCTGTGAAAAATACATCCATCCATTTTCTTACACGTGGGGTTGCGCGGGGTACTGGTGACTAAAGCCAGGTGTCCACAGGCAAGAGGCGGGGTGCACCCTGGACAGGTCACCAGTCCATTGCAGGGCAACACAGAGACAAACAGGACAAACAACCATTCAGGCCAGTGGATGAAGCCAATTAACCTAACAATAATGTTTTTTGACTGTGGGAGGAAGCTGGTCTACCCGGAGAGAACCCACGCATGCTCAGAAGAGACGGGACGAGAAGAGGGGAAAAGTAAAGAGATGAAAAGAAGCTACCCTAGCGGTGCTGAAAAGAGGAGAAAGAAGGAGGAAAGTAGGAAGCTGCTTTGAAAGCTACCGACAATGGATGACTTGGGCTTCTTCAATGCGGCAGCGGCTAACACCAGCAGCAGTCCGTCGGTAACGTTGGCACCTGTTGAGGAGTGTCCGACATGTGGAGAGGAACTCCTGCGAGTATTAACCTGGGTAATAAGTGGGGGTAATAACTCAGAATGCATAAAATTCCACCGGTAAATTTTTTACCAGCAGGTGGAGCCATTGCACGCAGCTCCAAGCTGACACCAAAAGTTCCATACCCCACAGCCCTGGAACTGTTATAGCTAGAGGTCTGACATTTTCTGCATTTGTGGTTGACATGATGTAGAATACATATAATACAATAAAACCTGCCTTTTCTCAAGAATGTCTTTACTACTGCTGTTAAAAAAGACCTATCATTTCCGAGAATAAAAAAACAACAACTTTGGGTCACGTTTGAACTGATTAGGAAACTAGAGGTTGTTAGCTTTCAAAAAATGCATTGCACATGTAATTTGGGCTTACAGTTCCTAAGTTATCTGCTTTTCCATTTGGGTATGCAAAATAGGCGAGGATTATCCAAAATGAGGTGAATGTTAAGAGGTTAAACCGTCGATGGAGACGTCACCCTTATATTGCTAAGTATTTATTTACCTTATTGAAGATGGGTCATTTTAAAGTACGTTTTCTATTTCGTTTGTATTTGCTGGTCCATCATCATCCACTCAGTATACAGTGTACTTCTGGAAGATGACACATCACTTTGGCTAAAGCAGCTGTCTGATCGAGCATTTTTGCTACAAACGATGAAAAATCTATTAAGGTGTTTCTTTTAATGTTAAATTTCAGAAAAAGTCAGGCTTTTAGTTTTAAGTGTTTTAGTTCTTACTAATTTAAGTTATATATTCAAAAAACATAAGCAAGTTAGTACCAACTTCTCACTCTGCATTATAGTGTTGTATTAACATTGCTTTAATGTTATTGTGTTTAGCTGTGGATGTTGAGGTTCGAGTTAATGATAGATCATGAAATAAGTTACTGTTTGGTAGTTTAAGCAATTGTCATATTTGTATGTGTCCTGAGACATCTTATGTATATATATATATATATATATATATATATATATATATATATATATATATATATATATATATATATTTTTTTTTTATTCCTCTGAGTTACAGTGACGTAGACAAAATTAAAGTTGCATGACATCTTTAAATTTCTACTGTAGCACTTGAGTAAATATACTTATATTTAACCACTTGGTATAAGCCTTATACTGTGTTTTATGTATGATTGTTTTCAGCATGAGACAGAGATGGGCTGTAAGACTATTAGGGCTATAATACAAACACTCCTCTGTGCAAACATATTGGTTCCTTGCAGATTTCTTCTTCGGTTTTTTTCCAAATTAAAATTTTTCAGAACATTGAGCTAATTTAACCTATGTGCTAACAAAAAGCAGTTTTCAAATGATCATTTTAGTCTAAAAAAGTCCTTATGTCCTTTTACAAACTAAAGGTTCTCCAAACCAACCTGGACCTGTTTCAAAGAGGATTTACTAAATACTAAGTCAGGAATTAACTGATCAAGAGCAGATTGTTCAGAAAGTGTTGAATTTCTCAAGCCACACTTGGATCTGAAGAACTAGAGACGTGTGCAATTATTAAACATAAACCACCTCAATAGAAACTATCAGCATGAACAGGTTAAAGGATCTCAGACATTAACACATTAAGCTGTGATTTCAAAAAATACAACAGATTGGATTTAAATTTACAAAGCTTGTAAATGATTTAGAAGCCTCTTCTAAGGATTTAGGTCTTCATTGAGGTACAGGAAAGCTCTCATTCTCAAATAAAGAAAACATGCAGCAATGGGGAACCTTCCCAACCTTTGCCATAGTTACTCTATGAGCAAGTGATCAGTAAGACTAAAAAACAAATGAAGATACAGGCAAAGCTTTGAAGGCTGTGTGAGCCTGGCTACATCTGTTACAGCATTCCCACACAGATTTAGAACTTGATCATGCCAACAACCAAAATTCCTGAAACTATCAGTTTAAGACATTAAGCTTAAGCGCATCCCGTTTTATGAGGCATGACAATGACAAGAAGCACAACATCAAGTCTGCCTCTGAATGAGTTAACTCAAAGTGACAATCTTGAAGTAGCAATTCTCGAGTTAAAAAACATATTGATAATGTGCCATAGGTTGAAACAAGATGATATACTGTAAAACCCCTCCAATGGGGCCGAACTGAAACAACTCTGCAAAGATAGGTATAAGATGCTTCCACAGAAATGTAAAGGAGCCCAGTGAAGCTGTTTATAAAGGTCCAGGTTGGTCTTAATGGCTAAATGAAATCCTCTGAAAAGTGCTTTTTTTTGTGTCAAATTGCATTAACTTGGTCTTACATGACGACCAGTGTTTAATGACCTCAAATTATTAAAGAATGGCAGAAAGACAGAAATTGGAAAATGTCTGCAAGGAGTACATGATTGTGTATGCACAAGCTATTTCAGGGTAAGAGAAAACCTTAGCTAGAATAAAGGTTATACCTAGATTTTTATTGAGTAAACGATCGATAAATAAGATAAATTAAAAGAAAAAAGAGCCTTTACTATAATCATTGTCAGTCTCAGTTTACAATAACTGTGTCCAAAGTGAATAGGATCAAAGACATTTTATATACAGAGAGCCTTCATGCTCCAGTTTGTGACAGCAGCTGTAAAGCCACTCCGTGGCTGTTCTGATCACATTCAGCAGAATTCACCACTTCATCTTTGAGGTTTTGTGTGGCATCATCCCCCAGCGGTGTAGTAACCGTACGTCTTACTTTGAAAACGTCCCATTTCTCAGGCAGCAAGCCGTGGTTAAACATGAGACAAGCCAACCAAGAAAAAAGCAATACGGTTACCAAGGTACACAGCATGGACAATGTCCTCACAGGAGCCTTCTGGACATAGATGCCATCTTCCAGAGTACAACCTGGAAGGTGAATGACAACTGGGATGCCCAAAGTATTTTCTCCCAACAGAATCCTCAGATTCACCCCCACTATGTACCCCACTGCTGCGCCGTAACCATTGGTCACTTTGAAGAAAAGCACAGAAACCAAATGGGGGAACATGAGGGTGTAGGAGACATCAGCTCCGAGAATCCAGAGGACCAGGGTGCTGTTAGTGTAGAATGTTATGGACGTTCCAACAAGTCCCACAACTACAACTGACACCCGAATCACCCACTGCATCTCATTATCTGAAGCCTGGGAACAACAGGTCATAAAAGAGAAGATGCTTGGTTATTTACTTAAACATGCATCCATCCCATTTGGGATTTATCTGATACAGTGGTTTGGATAGTAAACATAGCTTCTGAGGTTAACACTTTGGACTCCTTACCTGTGTGCGCAGGACATTTTTGTAGATGTTTGAGGAGAAGACAGATGTTGCAGATAACAGACCCGAGTCTGTGGAAGACATGACAGCAGCGGCGACGGCTCCAATTCCAATGATTGAGATGTAGGATGGAGTGAGGTACTGCAGAGTGAGGGGCAGGACAAAACTGTGCTCCCCACGGATGTAAGGAGGGGGGGAACCGTACTCTGTCAGGTTCCAGTCTGGAAAAGAGAATTTCAAAAACAGATATATATTTCAAAAGGATAAAAATTCACTCATGCAGAAATCTGACATCCAAGCTGCAAGTACAGAACATTGATATACTGCAGGGCCTGGGGTCCATTGGGATGGTCTAATGTCCTTGTAAAATCCCCAGTTTCATGTGTATGGCTAATATTTACATTTGCACGTTACATAGATTTGATACATAGAATTGATCATAATTTATAATTAGAAAATTAAAGTTATTATGGATTTGAAAAGTGTGCAATCCAATGGATCTATAGCTATCTTACTAATAGGGAGTTTAATGTACTTTTTAATGGTAGTTATTCTGAGACAAAGGTTATCCACTGTGGGGTGCCTCAAGGGAGTTGCCTTGGGCCATTATTATTTTCTGTTTTTACAAATGATTTGTCATTTATTTTGGAATTTGCTACTATTGCCTTATATGCAGATGACTCAACTCTTTATGTGTCTGACTATTACTTTACCAGACTTATTATGATATTAAATAATCAACTAAAATGAATTGAAAATTGGATAAAAAAAAAAAAGAAAGTTGGTTAATAATGCTGCAAAGAGCAAATGCATGATCTTGGGATTTAATCATCTTAAAAGGCTCACCTACTCTTAACTTGGTTGTTAGTGGTTCAATTTTGAGAAATGGGACGTTCAATTTTTTTCCCATCTGCTATCGGCCTTATCAACAAGGCCAAGACCCGCCCGTGACATTGGACAATGTGTCTCTCCCCCATTCAGGATTTCTGCGTTACATTAACGCACAGTCTACTGTTTGTATATAGCTTCTGTGTATATATATATATATATATATATATATATTCTATCTTATTTTTATTTTTTATTTTTTGTCTGCACCAACAACACCAAGTCAAATTCCTTGTAAGTGCAAACCTACTTGGCAATAAACTTGATTCTGATTCTGATTGAACAAGTGACTGAGTCCAAATTGCTTGGCGTGATTGTGGACAGCAGGCTAACTTGGAACGCTCAGATAAAACAAATACTGAATAATATGGGCAGGAGTATGGCAGCAGTTCGGTACTGTAGAAATGCATACCAACTCAAATACGGAAAACTTTGGTGGAATCAAGAGTTTTGTGTCATCTCGACTACTGTTCCATAATTTGGGCAACAACTACAGAAAATAACCAGAATGAATTACAGGTTGCAAAAAAATAAAGCAGCTCAGGTAGTATTACAGACATGCACAATCAGTTAGCATGGATCAAATATTCTCTAATTAAATTCTTAAAAAATGTAATTATTACAATAGCACCTGAAATTATTCATAACAGATTGACTTTTTTGGTGACACTCATAATTATTCTACTTGCCAATCAAGTGAAAGAAGTTTTTGGTTACCTGCTGGATGAACAAATCAACTTCAGAGAACATCGTGTTATAGGGCGATAGTGGTGTGGAACTCACTCCCGCAATTTTTATTTTTCAGAGATGTACAAGGCTTAGACTTTATATATTTACTTTGGAGTGACTGTAACATTTATGAAATTAAGTAATTCATAATGAGAACTAGTAACTGAAATGCTTTATAATTTACATAATGCCTAGAGATTGGTATGGTTTTGTACACAGAATAGTTCATACTATATTATGTGTATCTTTGTGTATGTTCAGAATCAGAATCAGAATTGGGTTTATTGCCATTGTTAGTGAAGGAGTTCACAACTAGGAATTTTTTATGGTACAATCGTGCAACATGAAACATATAATATGAAATAGGTAAATAAAATTATAAAAATCTCTAAAAACACTGGGGTATAAGGCATGCAAAAAATATACTAATATATACACTTAGGATAAAAATATGGATAAATAAAAAAAATATATAAAAAGTATAAAAAAATAAAATGTACAAGGTAGTGCAAATAGAGCAGTGTGCAATACAGCAGTGTAAATGGCATGGGCAGGTTATGGAGTCTGTATGTATATGAAGTTGTATTGTTGTGTGTGTGTACTTCTGTATTTGGCTTCATTGTGACACAGCTTTCATGTAATATCTGTTAAAAAATGTTAAGACCCCAGAAGGAATAGCTACTGCTTTGACTCAGTAGCTAATGGGGATCTAAATAAATTAAAGAAATAAAAAAAACAAGTGTATACTGCAACCGTATCATCAGTGATTACTAGGGATGGGAATCGAAAACCGGTTCCTGTTAAGAACCGGTTCCGTATTTTCCGATTCCATGGCATCATTTGGCAGCTCGCTGAACGATTCTTTTTTCGATTCCCGCAGCACCAGAGCCTAGAGCGCTGGCTCTGGGGAGCACGACTTACGTCACGTTTTACGTAAGTTACGTAAGTTACGCAAGTTACGCAAGTTGGAAGAACTACGGTATTCGAGGAGGAAGACAACGAGCTGCGGTCACTTTGTGAATCAAAGCCCCGTCTTTCCTTAGCCCAGAGGGTAGATCAGGAAATCCAGCTCTATAAAAGCTTGCCCTCCATCCCCTGCAGGGATAGCGCCACACTGTGGTGGTGGAACAAGCAAGATACGCTGCCCTTGCTATCTGGACTGGCTGAAAACTACCGTATTTTCACGACCATAAGGCGCACCGGACTAAAAGGCGCACTCTCAGTTATGTGTCCCATTTCTGTATTTAACACACACATAAGGCGCACCGGACTATAGGGCGCGTTTTTTATATACAGGTACATGTCCTCTCAGGTGGATTTTCCCACTTAAAAACATATTAAAACTACTTTATTCCCACTGATCACAGCAAATAAAGCTGCAAGGTGTATTTATTACAAAGTATTATTCAAACCTGGGAGCTGGCCATGAGAGACACATCGCTGATGACACAGGGCTGTGATTACTCCTCTGATACAATTTATTGACGCATAAATTAACTTAAAACATAGGCAGGATAATAATCTGGATGAACTGACTGCAATGATTAAATTTTCAGGTGGACTTTCTCACTTAAAAAGATTTAGATTATTTAGATGAAAAAACACCTGCCGAGGTGAGTCTGGATGCGCGGCCCAGAGGCTGCTGTTGAATTAAGTTTTCAGGTAGAAAAATAGAGCGGGAGCAAAACTGAGTATGATTGTGCTTTATTCATGTATTTTTTACAAAGTATTAATCAAACCCCTCAAAGTCCTCATCCTCTGTTTCTGAATTAAACAGCTGCGCTAAATCTGACATGCCAGTTTCCCCTTCTTCTTCGTTTATTGACGCATAAATTAACTTAAAACATAGGCAGGATAATAATCTGGATGAGCTGACTGCAATGATTAAATTTTCAGGTGGACTTTCTCACTTAAAAAGATTTAGAATATTTAGATGAAAAAACACCTGCCGAGGTGAGTCCGGATGCGCCGCGGACCAGAGCCTGCTGTTGAATTAAGTTTTCAGGTAGAAAAATAGAGCGGGAGCAAAACTGAGTATGATTGTGCTTTATTCATGTATTTATTACAAAGTATTAATCAAACCCCTCAAAGTCATCATCCTCTGTTTCTGAATTAAACAGCTGCGCTAAATCAGACATGCCAGTTTCCCCTTCTGCGCTGTCAGAGTCACTTTCCGTGCAGCGCGGCTCCTCAGAAATAATGCCTGCTTTTGCAAAAGCTTGAAGAACAGAGCCAGCAGACACGTTATTCCTCGCTGCTTCTGCTGCACCTGCTGGGTCCGGTTCACACCGATGTCGAGCGGTTGAACAGCGAGCACAGCCTTAATTTGTTTCCCCATGTTTTTCACATCAGCTGTGAGATGGGCACGCATGGAGTTACAGATTAATGGTGATGAGTGGAAAAAAAACACCTGGTCTCCTTACATTCAGCCACTCTTTCATCATCTCCTCAATGAGGTGGTCTCAAAAGTCGCAGTTACAACACACATAGGGCGCACCGCACCATAGGGCGCACCGCACATTTTGAGGGGGAAAAAAGACGTTTAAGTGCGCCTTATAGTCGTGAAAATACGGTACCTCTGTGTGCAGGCTTCCGCCACCCCATCTGAGAGGGTGTTTTCCATGGCTGGAGACACCATAAGCCCTGAAAGATCCCGTATCCTTCCAGAAAAAGCAGATATGCTCATCTTTCTGCAAAATAACTATTAATTTTCCCTACTACTGTTTTATAATTAGTATTTTTTGTTATTTAAAATAAGTTATTATCCCATCATTTGTTATTAGACATTGTTGGTTATTAAGTTTGTTCTTGTATTAATTTTTCATTTAAACACGGATGTTACTCCAGTTTCACATTTCCTGTGGACATCTTGATCTTGTTGATTTTGTAAGATTGTGCAATAGTTAAGTAAACAAAGTTGATGCTGATAATCAAACTGTTTGTTCTCCTTTTTCCCCCAAATTGGAATCGAAAAAAGAATCGATAAAGAATCGAATCGTTTCATAGAATCGAAAAGGGAATCGGAATCGTGAAAATCTTTTCAATTCCCAACCCTAGTGATTACAACCACAAGCTCTGTGTGTGTATATATTACTAATTAAAATAAGTAAACAAGACTGATGGAACTTCTAAACAAAACCTTTAGTTGAGCAACACTTTGAGGTAATCACTGAAATCAGGTGTTTTCTGCAATGTTCTGGAATGTTCAGTCAGATTTCTGCATGTGTTGACAGGTATGTTGGTTCACTGTTTATAAGCAAGGTACTTGCAAGGTATGCTTTTTTTTTATTTTTATTTTTATAAAAATGAAAATTTATATTTTATTTTAGCTGTTTTGTTGCGTTTATTTAATGATTGATTCACTCTGGGGCCTAAATGCAATTACACGCCACATTTTTTATGCTTTTATTTATAAATTGGTAAATGGCATGCACTTAAATAGCGCCTTTTTTCAAGTCAGGAGACTTGACCAAAGCGCTTTACACTACATTCATTCACCCATTCACGCACACACACACACTGATGGTGGCAAGCTACATTGTAGCCACAGCTGCCCTGGGGCTCACTGACAGAAGCGGGGCTGCTGTACAATGGTACCACCGGGCCCTCTGACCACATCAGTACACAATGCAGTTGAAGTGTCTTGCCCAAGGACACAACGACAATGAAAGTCAGAGTCTGGGCTTGAACCGTCAACCCTTCGTTTTCATAAAGAAATAGATACAATAAAAAAACAGAGCATCTCATCTTTTTGTTCTACTCCAAAAACATTTTCGACTTTGTGTTTGTGACAAAAAAGCCTGAAAGTTTGTTGTTTAAATATGATAAAGTAGGAATTTAAAGTACTAGAGACTGTGAGTGGGTCTGAAAGTGATGTGAAGTGACTCCAGTGGCCGGGATAATTGTTCACTACTAACAAGAATCACAAAGCTTAGGCAGCACAGGAATATCACAAACACAAAGTCTCCTCTTTTTGCTCCTTATATGAATATTTCCTGAGCTCCTCTCAATCTGGGGTGAATATGTTATAAATGTGTTATAAATGCTTATAAAAAAGTGTCAAATTGTGGGACAGTTTTTGTCTCTCTCTCTCTCTCTCTCTCTCTCTCTCTCAAACCTTCACCATAATTTGACTCCTGCACAAAGGCCTGTAGAAAGCGCAATCTGGTGGTAATGAATAAAAAGGAAACGATTCTGTTACCAAGTACCCCATGGTTGCATCTTGCTCAACTTGTGCATTTATACAAAGTATGGTTACAAAGTTATGCAATGAGCTGCCAGAGAAAGGACATGTGTGTCTGAGTCACTGTGAAAAGCAAAACAGTAGGAGCCAGTCTAATTTACTTGCTGCCACATAACATGTACAAAGGCTTTAGCTTAGTTCTCACCTGTGGATGCAGCCACAGCCCCAACCAGAGCAGGAGGGATTCCCAGAATGGCTATCAGAACTGCTGCTGCATAGCAAGTTAACTGGGCTGTTCTTGCTGAGGAGGCAGACAGCGTCCTCTGGTGGAAGCTTTGGAAGGACAGACTACCAAGACCCTGAAAATACATGGCAGGGGCAAAGGAAGAACATTTTAAACCAAAATAAAAAGCAGTAACAGCAAGTTGAGATGTAGAACTCATATGTGGAAACATCAAGCTGAGAACAATACCTTATTTTAAAGCATCCAGAAGGTAGTCACATAATTATTCAAGGAGACATGCTGAAACGCCATTAGGCTAAAGAGCTACAGACTAAACTCACCCCATAGCCAGGAGTTAAAAAACAAACCTCAGCCCTTTACATTTGGCAGATTATTAGCATAAACCTCCAAAACTCCATCAGAGTCGAGTTCTGTCTGCCCACATCTGCTTTTATGGCCCTATGTGTTTAAACAGTACCATAAATGAAAATGTCTGCCAAACTGACTGACTAAAGTCTGTTTGGATCAACTCTGTTGATTCCACTGTGTGCCTTTTCATACTAATATGATTAACACAGACAGAACTACTGCATTTTGTTACTCCTGTTATGTAGTCCTAACCACATTTAGCAGCAGCAAATAATCTCCTGTAGTCCTGTGACAAGATTTGTTAAAATGTAACGGGTTCTCTACTGTCCAACATTTGGGTGACAAAAAAGGACAATTTCCAAAATTATAGCAGCAAATCTAAAAGATAATGTGGGGAAATGTTATTTTACTGGTCTAAAAAAGTTCAGACCTTAGCTTTATCGGAATTCTGGAAGTTTGAGCATAAATAAAAGCGTTTTAATAGAGTCGCATCATTAGACTCTGACCAGCTTATAGAACAATACTATTAATTTCATTTCTGTAAAATTCATCTTAATTCAACAATCAAATGTAGCAAACACAGACCCGAATAAACTGGGTAGAGGAACAAAAGGTTAAGATTTTTTTCTTAGCCTGTAAATGAATGTGGACTTGTTCTTTACAATGACAGACAGATACAGAAGAGCTAGACTAACAGCTCTGAACTGTGGGCAGGAAACAAAGAAGCTTCTGTCATTTCAAAAAACTTTACAACTTGCAGCCTTATAGTAGAACAAGTTAGGGTAATTTTACCCTTTGCCATTTAAACGCTTTTGCTGTTTTAGTGCAAAAAAAGCCGGCACCAAAAGGAGCTGTCTGCTAAGGGTCATTATGCAGCATTAACCACACCTGCTCTGGAGGCGAATCATTCCCCCTATGACAATCAATGAGTTAAGTAGTTTTTATTTTTATAATCCGTCTATGGTGAAGCACGCCTCTAGCTAAATGATCACACTGAGATAAGCCGCAGCACCAACCGCCACCCAGTGCAGGGAAACAAGTCCACAAAGCAGACGAATATTTAATGTTCACTGAAATTAAATTTAGTTTAATTGATTCAAACAAAAAATATCACTGCTAGGAGGTACCTTATAAGTAAATGGAGGATGTTCTTTTTCTGGGTGGATCATCAAAATAAATTATCCTAATTGCTCTTAATTGTCAATCGTTCTGGTGAAATCTTTACACCCTATGTCCTCGCCCCCATTTTCACTTACCGGTCATGAGTCTGACCAAGAGGAAAAATTGCAAATCTTCTTTAAAGTAAGCTTGTATGAGTGATGCAAACAGCAACTTTTGAACAGAGTGTGCACGAGGAGAAATGGGCTCCTGCATGCTCTGGCATGGGTTTAAAAGGCATTCCATCTTGGGAGCAGGTACAAGGCTGTGCATTTATTTATAAAAAATTTTTAAGTGCAAAGGGTCTCTTCAAAAATTCACGAAAATCCTACATTATATCTTTAAAGTTGTCTTATATATAGTAATAAATATTGTATTATATTTTATATAAGTCATAAATACCAAATAGTGATCAAAACTACCAACAATTGAACTAGAGTGTAGATTAAACTCCTTGTTTGAAAGTAAAACACATTACGATTAAATTAAAAGTATGACTTTTAATCACCTAAAAGCTGGAGCTGATGAGAAACTTGTGATACAGTTTTATTTGAAGGTGTTTTACTTTCAGACATAATATAGTAGAAAGCAACCTATTATGCTAGGATTTCATGCTAGGGAATTTAAAAGCAAAGGGAAAAATATTCTATAATTCGAGATAGGTATTAGAAAGAAGAAATGTTACTGAGCCTTTGGGACTCCAGTGAACTATAGTTGCGACCATCATCTATAGCCGGAGGAAAGAAAACAATAATAACCTGCTCTTGGTCTGATATAAATATTCATCATTTATTGCAAATTATTGGAGATAGCTGTTGTAACTAAGGGTAGATATTAGCTCTAGGGGGGGAAATTATTTTACATGCAGCGAGGTTGTGTGTTGTTTAGCTTTTTTCCTTAATAAACTGAATTATCATTCGAAAAAACATTTTTATATTAACGGAAGTTATCTTTGATTATAACTTTTTGGACTTGAAATATTGGACAGTAAAAGGAGATGTCCTTTCTCTGCACACAATATTCCAAGTGTCATTCATGGCATAGGAGAATGGTAGCCTTATCTTCAATCCTAAATCCTTGTGTTTCTGGGCTTTTTTAAATCTTAATCTAGACTAAATAAAAACACATTAACTTGCAGGAAAACTGTCACTAAAATGGATGGTTTAACTGATGTCAGAGCAGCTATCTTAAGAAAACACACGCCTCTATATATGAGGGGAGGGTGGAGTCAAGCTGAAAAATAATTATGGTAATTCTTGAACGCCTCCTCTAAGCACATGTCATCAGGACTTCTTTAAACAAAGGGATTATCAGTTATATTAAAGCCAAGGTTAAAGAGGTAGAATATACTGACCAGCTTACCAACATTAAGAAGTCATCAATCCACTTCCAGGCACTATCCTTATCCAGACTTCCAACCCATGGATCTTGAAATGTGTTGTTAAAAGCTGTGTCAGCGATGTTAACAGATGTTTTGTTCAGTAGTATGAACGGTACACACAGCCACTGCAAGGAGAGCAACGCACAAAGAGTTCATGAGTGTGCAGGCATCAGATAAGAGCAGAAGGAGTACACACCAGGCATGGAGATTACATTATGGTTACAGCACTTTTACTGTTAAGAACTGAGAGCACCACACTTTTTATACAACTTTAGTTTGTTTAGCTAAAAATGATAACATGAAAAACATATTAAAGTAACAGAAGGACAGTGTGAGATATTGTACTCTCAGTGTTGGTATGTGTAGTAAAGGACCTTCCTATTTACCAAACTGAGGAATGCGAGGGCGAGCTGGATGACGTCAGTGTAGGCTACTGAATAAAGTCCTCCCAACAGAGTGTAGACTATAGCCACAGCAGCTGAAATCCACACAGAGTAGCCAAACTCCAAGTCCAGTATCACACTCATAGTTGCTCCTGTTGCACAAATACATACATTAGTGACACCAGTGCTTTTCCTGTCATCCAGTAGAATAACCTAGATTGTTTTGTTTTTTTGCCTGTGCTAAAAAAAACACTTGTAAGAGTATTCAAGCCCTTTGTAATTTTTCACATTTTGCCAACTTTGTTGATTAACATTTTTTTTTTTTTTTTACTGCCCTCTCAATAGGAATGCTGAGGCAAACATACTCGACAGTTTAGTAAAGTTCTCAGTAGATTTCAGCATTCTAACTGTTAAAAAGCTCAATTTTCTGTTAATTTAAAGCTGCCCTTATCAATAAAGGTCCAGCCTGTTCAATATTTCTCACATTAGGCCAGTTAAGTTCAGTTCTTTGGGCCTTCTGGCTAAACTCCCTCCACCTATCTGGGTAGTAGCAACCACACAGTCTACAACTTAAATATGAGGCAACGGCTCTGGACCTTCAGTTTTTGCTTAACGATAGGTGAGCACAGCCCTGAAGTGCACCTCTGGATTCACTGCTTTCTCATCTCTTTTACCATAACCACCAGGTTGGCCAGCAGGTTGTGTCCACTGAGTTGGGGGTACTGTCCTATCCAGGTTTTCCAGTAGCTGACAGTTTATTTACTTGTGATTTATCTATTTTCTCCATTTGAAGGAAAATGTAAAACTAATCTTCACACAGACTCACTTTGTCCAATCTGAGGGAGTTTGAGCTATTTTGCAAAGAGCAATGAGCACACTTTCTAAATGTGCAAAGGTACCTGTGAAACGTCCAAAAATACTTCCAGCTGTAACACCAGCAAATGGTATTGTTTGAAGTATTAAGTCAGATGAACTGAATACAAATGCAATCCTACACTTTTCAGATTTAAGTATAAAAAATGTAGAGAACTGCTGAAGAAGCCTTTCCCTCAATGCAGTCAGCTTTGTGTTGACCTGCATTAAAATCCCAATAGAACACATTGAAGTGTGTAGTTTTTACATGGGAAAGCAGGAAAAAGGTGATGTGCACTTACCCAGCCCTAACAGAGTGCAGGATACCCACAGCACATCCACCAAAACACATGGCAGCACGAGGGCCCCACTCAACACCCTGCCATACTTTTCCTGGAAAGGATCCATCATGGTGACATATTCCTTCTCCCTCATTGGCTTGGCAAAGAAGAGACCTCCTAACGCAGGGTTGCAAAAGCATCCATTGTTCATTGTGTATTCATTCAGTAATAGCTTAAATACAATTTTTTAATGGAAAGATTTGGATAGACACAAACTTGCCCAGACACATATGGTTGACATTAGGATCACAGCCTCCTCCTTCCTCTACTGCCTTACCTATTATGAAGGATACAGAGTATTGTATCGGCATCAAAGCCCAAATCAAGCCCATTTTGGGAGTGTACACGGCTTCAGCAACACCCAGGATAAAACCTCCTCCGACCCAAGTGGCTGAAAAAGAGCAACAGGCGTAAAAAAGGCATAAAAAAAAAAAGGAAAAAATACTTTAGTTTACCATCATAAGTGTTTTGCACCTTGTTTCTGTGTGCTGGCAGTGTCTCTGCTTGTCATTTCAAATTAGGCAAAATCATATTGGCATCATTTCGTGAGGCAGCCATTAACAGGCTCTAAATATTGGCTGGTTTCCTTCTTTTTAAGTGTAGTTCTTGTATGCATGCTAGTTCTCAAACTTAGCTGGGAAAAATGTCTTTGGTGTTTATAGGAAACAAGCAACAGGAAAGCCTGTCAATAACTGGAAACTAGTCATTCTTAATGGTTTCATCACCCCCCGAAATCAGAGTTTTTCATGATAAAACATCTGTCATGTCATTAGAATACTTAAAACTAGCTTGGGTTCTTTGTTCAAACCAGAAAGGACCACAAAGTCATGTTTTTTCTCCCTTATTTACTTCATTTGTTTAACGGTGGTAACACTGCTAAACGTGCAGCCATCAAGATGCAATTAGCTACAAGACTTTTAACCAAATATTTGAGGGGTTGTATGTATACAACTCAGCCTGTGTGTATAACTTTGTCCCCAAGTGGATAAGGAAAATCAATAACATATTTAAAGTTGTGTAACTAGTTCTTGTTTTTGAAAAAGATTTCCGTCCTGAAAACAGGCCTTCAAATAAGTCCTTAATAGCCCATAATATATATTAAACCCTTGAGTGCAAGAATATTTCTGATAGAGATTGTTTAAGTAAGATTTTTAAACTTTGCTATACTATATTTTTTCCCCATTAACCTATAAAAAATCAAAACAATCAAAGTTTATGGCCAAGAGTAAATCCACCGCTAGTTAGTGGTTTAGCCTGTCCATTATTCTGAGACTGATCTGGATGAAAAATTGACTGAATAGTGTTATTTATTATCATGTTTATGTTCTTAGATTTGCTAGAAAATTTAGACATCTATGTGTTACACAATTGTACTGATTAGAATAAAGTGTAGTTCAATAAAGAATGTATTAAAGAAAATTAGTTCAGAGATTTCAAGTTCTTTACATTATGTTTTGGTGCAAGTTTTCGGATTTGTGGTTTGGTTCTGTCCTGATCAGTTTAACAGCTTAGGTTTATTTCCTTCTGTCTTTTCTGGTTTTTCTTTTCAACCTGTTTTTTTTTTCCTGTATAGTTTATATTTAGGATCTTTCATCTTGTCACTACATTATGCAGAACATGCTTTCACAGAACCACCTACCGGTCATGGTAAAAATCCCAACCACCAGGCTGATATTCCTGTCTCCAAGCAGCACCACCTCGGTTCTGTCTCCGCAGCTCTTCCTCTCGACTCTTCTGGATTTCCGGGCTGCCCAAACCCCAGTACCCAGGATTAACATGTAGAACAGCACCACCGCCACCACACCGGGTATGTTTAGAGCCATGGTGGTCTGCTGTCACCGACTACACTGCGAGGTAGATGTGCTGGCTGGGCAACAAAATACAAATACTGTCAGAACAAAATTGCATAATGACAAAGGTCAAGAACACAGAGAGGAAGTTGCAAGCTTTGAACTTGGGGGGGAAAAAAAGGGAAAGGTGCATGAGAGTAATTCCAGAAAATGATTTTCGGAGAATTTCAGAAAATCACACAGTTGGACTGGAGTATTTTCTTTAGTTTTGTTAATGGAAGCTATATAAAAAAGGAACGGTAAGGGGTTACATTTTTAAACTGCTATTGCAATTTTTTTTTGAATTTCCTTTGCACTAACCAAAAGCACAAAATGTTTCACTCCAGGATGTCATTGTGTTCATGACCTTGAAATTTTCCCTGTCCTGAGTCCTTGTGGCGAGATTTTACTTGTACTCTTGCGTGGAAAACTGCCTGCTTCTACTCGTACGCATGGATCCACATGCTATCTGCTACACTGTCTTCCCATCTGTGTTGCAGAAAACCCACTTTAAATACATTACCGCAAGAAAGTCAGTGCCGCACTCTTGTTTCAATGTAATGAAACCAAAATTAAGCACTTCTTCCATTTGAAAGTAGAATTTTGTTAATTTGAAATGATACTGCAAGTACAGTTGATTGATCCGCCCTAATTTAGTAAAGTAATGCTGACTATCAAAACAGATCACAGTCACATAATTTATATTTCTTCCACATAAAACACTATGAAGCCAACTTTTTTTATTTTCGCAATTGTTTAGATGTGAAAACTGTAACTGTAATTCCTCCTGATCAACCTGCTTTTTAATTTTCAAAATAATGTCTAATAAAATAATGGAACTCATCAATCGCACCGTATATTTTGTGTACATTTGACCGAAGAGGGTGATTTTACCATCTGCAAAAAAAAGCACTGCTTTTGAGTAAATGCAAAAAAAAAATCTACCATAGGGAAAAGAAAGCAGTTCAAATTTTGCCAAAGGTCGCAAATGGGAGAGCAGGAGTAATGGTGAAGGAGCTCAGCTGTTTTTTTTTTTATGACAGATTAATGACTTTCTACTAAAATCTTAGTAAAGAGGAAAACTACAGAAGGGTAATCATAAGGATCCTGAGAATCTGAAAGCTATTGTCTGGACTATAAACACAAAGACAGAGATCAATGGTCATGTGACTTATCCTGGATATTTTAAGGCACCATTTGATGTCACTATATTTTGGGAGATGAAACTGAATGAGAACCACAAGAACTCACCACCTTTACCTAGTAGTAGACCAACTTACCTGTGTCACAGGCATTCATCAAAGGGATAAGAATGGTGGTGGAGGGGTGCAATTACCCGCAAATACATGACTTCACAGCAAATTCCCCCGAAAAGAAAATTAGGTCAGCGAATTACGCCAACACACAAACACTAAAAGTATGCAAAGAAAAAATACCGTGAAGGGATAAGAGAAGTAGAAATGTCTTGCAAAGAAACATAAAAAAAGCTGCAAACATATAAATGATGTCAACACATGAAACACATGCAAATAAAATACTGCAAACTAGCTACACATGATGATGGTCACAAACTCATATGGGACCAAATACACAGGCAGCATAACGTAAGAAGAGGGGCTTGTATGAATTTTTTAAAAAGTGGAACCTTTTAACAGCTGCAATGAAATATGCCCCACACCGATGGGTGTTTCCCATTCTAAAAAGAAATGGTCTAGAAAGGCCAGGACCCTCAAAAGCATTGAATGTTGGAAGTGATCACCTGTGAATCGGGACGGTCTAGCCTTCAGCCCTCACCTCAGGGTAACCTCAGTTGTATTAAATTACCAGTGATATACCTTATGTTTTGAGTCACCTAAAATGTCTTTCCTTTACCACGTCATTAGAAATAGCACTTTTTAATATTTTAGCTGGTTAGCTTGTCACAATTACGAAGAACTGCTAGTTGATTTGAGACTCCATGAAATTTTCTTATTTAGTTATTCCCAAACAGGAGGCTGTAAGTGTCTAAAATAAGAACATGAATCTAATTTAAGCTTATGATGTAAATAATATCCAGGATAATAGGCACATGTCCTACGAGCAGCATGCACATCCTAGTCATAGTGGTAGTTTGTAGCTCTTCTTAACAACCAAGTGTTTTTGCAACTTGCAGCTTTTCCCTTTGCATTTGTTTTGTGTTACCATTTTTTTATATGAAGCATGTATTCACTTAGCATCTCTCTTTTTTCTGTGAATAGAGAAGTTTTGCTTGTGTTTATGTGTTAGTCTAAGTTTTGAGTTCTTGTGTTTATAATTGTATTTACAAGACTTATTTTTATATTTGCTGCACTTTTTGAAGTCGTGTATTTTCACACCATTTGCACCCAGCTGCAACCATAGAGAAGGTATTTACGCAGACGGGGAAACACGGGGATGTTGTGGTCCATATTAAGGCTCTCAATGTATCAACTGAAGGGTATCCTTGATCTACCAGGATGTCCTTTCTTCCATATCTTGGATTATACTCGTGGTTCCTGCAGCAGTACATGCCTAAGGCAGCCCCACCTCCCCACTCCATCCTTTGCGATGGTGGCCATGAACTCGGCTTTAGTTACTGTAATGTCCATAGCTAAAACTACCTTTATTCTGAAGTAATTTAAACTACGTGATACTTGGATTTTATGTTCTTTACCAAGGCGTGGCTTCAAGTTGGTGACTTAACTCCATTCTTGGAACTTCTCCCCCTGCTGCGGCTCCTTCAGCATCCCAGAAACTTCAGGCAAAGGTGGAGGAGTGTCTGTTATGTTCAGGCAGATTATAACCAATTAGAAGGTTTCTTAGGCCCTTTAATCTAAGCTACCTACAAAATCAGTTATATAGTGTGACTTTATGTTGATGACTAGTTAAAGTAATCATTTCATAATAGTAATATGAACTGTATTTAAAAGAAAGAAGTATGTATGACATTAATGTTTAATGAATGCCTCAAACTTTACAGCCCTGCAAAATAAAAACTGAGGAAATTTGATTATTTTGCATCTTTAGAATGCACTGCTTATCTCAACAAAACAAGTAAAAAGACTGCAAGAACAATTTAATTTCTTAAGTTAGGCAGAAATCTGATTTTAAAATGAAATTTCAGGTGTAAATGTGTGTAATGGGGTGTAGTTTGTGCATTTTTTATCAAAATAGTGCCTGGAGATGCCCGTCACAAACTGCAGACCGTGGCTGTTTCTCAAGTCACAAGAATGCAAATATGGACTTGTGTTCTCACCAAGTATGTTCTTGATAAGAAGACATTTGTCTTTTCGCTCTAATGAAATGGAACCGCCCTGAGGCTGATGACCTTTCACACGCACATGAGAACGCACAAGAACACGCATTTAAAAACGGCCCTTGTCTCTAGCTGACCGATCTCCCTCTCTATGGTTATGGTGTAAATGAGTGACAGTTAACCCAATGGGATTACTATTTCTGGTTCATTCTGTGGTGCCGTTACATTAGGAGACTTTATTTTTAATTAAGCTGATGATTTGACTGACACATGTTAACGTAACAAATAAAAAATGGTCACCTGGTGCAATGCTGGTATTACCATGATGGTAACCTTCTGCCTTAGTGAATATACATCTAATCTGTCAAAGGTTCCCTTTCATTTATCTAAACACTCACCAAGGACAAAAAGGGTGTATACATCACATCATGATGTGCTCAGAATAATTTATGTTATTTTTTGTTAAATTAAAAAAAAGGACTAAATGGAGAGTATTTAAAGGAGGCGCTTGATAGCATAGTTAGCCAGTTAAGATGACATCACTGCCTTTTTTACTACAAATGTTGCTTCTGGTTATTCATCAAACTCTCTCTTCTTTCTTAATCTTTACTTTACAGATTCTTTACATCTGTTAAGGGAGTTATAACATGTTTGTCTGCTTTACATAGATTGGTAGGCATCTTAGCTCAAACAGGTCAAGACGCTGGTATCAGACGGGTGATTGCTTCAGGATCAGGAAACATTGCTTCCTGCGAAAACTGCAGTTTTTCATTCTCTTGCGCTACAACAATGAGACAAATATTAGCATGGAAATTTGGGTTGCACAAGCCAGAATAATACAAAACCATACTTTATGTCTCATTTCCAGCTTCATACTCAGTACACACATTCTATCTGAAGAGCTGCTAGAGAAGGAAACATTATGCTCTTCCTTTAACAACCAGCTCACATTTCTGCATAGATCTAAAATGCTACAGCAGAATGAAATCCAGAAAAACCAGACTGGATTTGATACTCCACCTTCACTCTTCTTACTAGTTCTTACTGTCACTCTTGTTCTCTATGAATGCATAACATTCCCAATGATACCTAATGATGTACACATAAGACATGTTTAAAAGATTGAGAAGTTATATTTTCATCTTAAAGCTTATGTGACTTGAGTACCAGTGGATTACATTGTTATGCCCATATTTGGGTTTAACCCTCACTCTTCTCTTGCTCTGTTGATTCTGGATAATAACACAAAACTTTTTCTATGAATTTTTGTATGTGGAACACTAAAATACACACAGTGGCTTAATATGGCAGCCAAAGTCCATCCAAATAACAGAACATACTTATTCATGAGCAGTTCTGAACATGTACTAAACCAGTTTTATTGATGACACGCAGTGGCACAGAAACCTTACCCAATTGGTACATTAGAACATTGTAATTTGCTACGTTTAGAGTCTTGCTTTAACCGATTTGAAAAGTTACAGTTGCACTTTTAGTTCTCATCCCCTACATTAGGGGTCTGCAACCTGCAGCTTAAGAGCCACATGTGGCTCTTTGGCTGTGTGGATCACTTAATATAGTATACAATGAACAGTGGTGTCAAAAGTACACACATCTGTTACTCAAGTAGAAGTATAGATACTGCAGTTTAAAAACATTCTGGTAAAAATTGAAATATCAACTTGACCTCGTTACTCAAGTAAAAGTGAAAAAGTATGTGCTCCAAAAACTAATTAAAGTATAAAAGTATAAAGATACCTTAAAAAAAAAAACAACTGTCAGATGCCACTATATGAATTGAAAGCTCAATTTTTCGACTATTTTGAAAAATTCTTTGCGATAGGGCCAAGGATGAGAGAGGTCTTGTTGGTCTCCATCTCCAGATACGCTCTCGCCTGTGCCCGACCTTTCAGACATTTCAACATCTTTTTCTGAATCACACATTGTTGCATGGCATAGACAATTCACGTTTGCAGTTTGAAGAACACCTGCTTGCTTCTGATGATTTCCTTTAGCTAATCAATGAGTGTTTGCGTTATATGACTCATCCAATTACACTAGTTTTCACTAGATGTGGATGGTGCCAATGATCTGCATTGGATGGCGTACATGACGTGAAAAATGTATTTATAAAAATTAAACCAAAATAAAGCGTAACGAGTAACGTTTGTTTTAAAAAATGTAAGGAATAGAAAGTACAGATACTTGTGTGAAAATGTAATAAGTAGAAGTCAAAAGTAGAAAGAAAAATAAGTAATGGAGTAAACATGGAGAAGCAGCATTTAGTTCCTATGCTCCACTTATCTGGAACAAACTTCCAGAAAACTGTAAAAGTGCGGAAAGCCTGAGTTCCTTTAAATCAAGACTAAAAACACATTTGTTTAGGATTGCCTTCGACTGTTCTAGTTTGGATCCCTGTGTGATTATTTTATTTTCTTACATGTCTTCACCTCATACTTCCAAATGGACCAATACCTGCTTTTTTCTGTAAAAGGTGAGCTCCATTTTTATCAGGACAAACCACATAGTGCAAGTGCAAACCATATTACTGGTCAATCTATCCGCCAAAATCCTATATTACATACACACAACTCCTATTATATACACTGTACTTAATCTGTATTATTTTTTGTATTTGTATTTTTGTATATGTATGTGTATTTTTTTCTTTTTTTGCTTGATTTTAACTTAATTTAACTTAATACTTTTTTGCCCTGTAAGCTGCTGGTAACCTTAATTTCCGGAGGGAGTCTTCCCAAGGGATCAATAAAGTACTGTCTAATCTAATGAGCATGGTATTGCTGTGCTTGATTACTCAACAGCATGTTAAGACCCTGACTCCATTTAGAATATATACCATATAGTTAAAAGTAAGATGAGAACCAACAATGCAGATCAGCTTGAATTACAGTTAAAGAAAAGTTGGGTCTCTTAACAGCTGAACTACAGGAAACTCCTTCAGTGAAGCAATAATTCGTGCATCAACGCGAATCCAAACACTCACTGCTCAGTGGCGGTTGGCTGCTGTCTGGTAAGTTTCCACCACCTTTCTAAAGTTTCACAGGTAAGGGGAAGGATGTGAAAGAACGTGCAAATATATGAATATTTAAAAGCTTTAATGAGCAGTGACGTCTCTGCACTCAGCTGCTTCCCTAACGGAAAATTCCACATCAGTTGAATCGCTGATAAGTGAACTTCACGCGCCGCTCGTCCGTTTTCTCCATCTTCGCTGCAATGAAACGCTGCCGCTGCTGCCACTTAAACATCCCTCTGCCTTTGACACGCGGCGCCTTCCTGTTCTAAACGCGTCAAACCGTTACTATTTGAAAATAAACGCAAGGAAAAACTTAGAATTGTATTGATGGTTGGAGTCACATCAGAACGGCTGCGCGCTCGCGCGTCATTCTGTCTTCGGTGTTTTGAGAATATTTGTCAGTCAGTCAAGCGCATTTCATTTAGTGAATAAAAAGTAAATATATTTTTTAATAAAAAGCCAAACAAATTCAAGACAAAGAAAACAAAAATAAATTAATAAAAGAGAGCAAAACAATTCAAAAGGGACACACAGACTGACCGAGGGAAGAAAGTGGCAAACTTACATGAAGTTGTTTGTAGAGATAAAGAAGTCCTTCAGACTGCTGGATGCCCCATGTCTATAAGTAAGGTAATTCAGCCTATAGCATCTGCTGCTTATTCCGGAAACACGCCCATGTTTGGTGGCGATATCTTCCACAGGAACTAAATAACGAATCAGCGTGGAAATTTTCCAATACTTCTCAATGAAAAACTGTCGTTAACACGATTTTGAAGGAAAACAATTGATGCCTAAAATACTGGAATGAAAGGGGGCATGTATCATTGCTGTTAAAAACAATTAGTGATATCCAGAGAGCACAAGTCCATACTCGCGTTGTTGTGACTTGAGAAACGGCCAAACATTTCAAACTTTGTACCTAATGAGATAGAGAGAACAAAAAAAAAAAATAATAATAATAATTCAGAAGAATTGTTTGAAATACAGGCAGTGGAAAATTTCATCTCCTCAGTCAAAGTCAATAAATTACAGTAATGCATAAAAAGCCTGAACCACACCTAATTTTTCAATGTCCAAAGAGCATGACTTCCTTCTGAATTGCTCTTTGGCTATTATCAAGAATACCTGGAGGTCTTTTAAAGTTTTTTAAGACCCCATTCCTCAAGTTGTACTTTATAGTTAAAGTGTAGTCTCTTTCAGTCCTTTACTGGGATTCTTAAAGAATATTCCATGCATAGTTGTGAATTTGTTGTTCTTTGTATGATTCATGCAGCAAACACCCTTACCTAAACTGGATTAACACCTTAGTCCTAACAATAACCCCAATTTAAAGAGCAGAACTTTACCATGTGTGCCTGCAAATCTCTGCATGTAGGATATTTTACAAAATACTTCCTCCAATATTTAAGACAGACAGGTCTGAATTAGTTCAAAAGTATTTATATACTAACGGCGTGCAGCTGCTCTAGCTGAAACAGTTATACATTAAGGCTCTCAATGTACCCCAAGCTCTGGGTGATGAGCGGAGCTGATGCCAATCAACGCCGAGGAGCAACAGTGTCCAGAAGGGAATGTCCAAAGTCGAAGTCGCAGAGTCAAGTTCATGGACTAGAAGTTCAGAGAGCCGATGAGGTACAGAAGGAGAATCCAAGCCGAGGTCAGTAGCACAGTCCAGGTTCGGTAAGCCAGCAGGAATCCGGGAATCAGTCCAGAACAGAGCAGACTAACAGCACAGACAGGGGCAAAGCAAAACTCGGGATCCACGAGGCAGAAACAGGTCACAATCAGATAATCAGAACAAAGATTACAGAGCTAGAGTCATTCCCACTGAATCACTTGAATAATCTTGCACCGTGGGCTGGGAACCGGTGGAATAAATAGCAGAAGAAACAGGTGGATCAGAAATGGGAGATAATTAGGCTGGGGTGAGAGGAGTAAAACCCAGCCTATAGTACCAAGATCATGACACATTTACCCCAACTCTAACTATTACCAGTATATTCCTAACCCTAACCTTAACCTAATGTTAATTCATACTAAATGGTTAAACTGTTAAAGTTGCCCAGGGCCCCATAAACCTCCTTTACATGTAATACAGGTATTACTCATTTGTGCACATTAATTATGTTTTTGATAAGAATCCTTTCTCTAAAATGACAGTAGGTGCTTATAATATTAAGTGTTTCCCCTCCACCCTTCAGTGTTCACCATATCGGATCAATCCATTTGCTGCGTAAGTGCAGAAAGATCCAGTCAGCAGCAAACCATTTGAAGAAAAAGGGTGCGAAGATTAGTGTTGCCAGCTTTGCTTTATGCGCTTTTGTCTCTATATATAGCGACTTTTCAGACCACTCTAGCACCTTTATTTTAAAAAAGTGCTTATTTATAAATAATATTTAAGATGCAATTCTGTGTCTGTATAATAGCTCTGTTTTAAGTGTTGTCTTTTCAATTCAGAGGGCCCCAGGCATGTCTTTGCCTAGGGCCCCAAATTTCCTAAATCCGCCCCTGCTACTGACACTGCATTTTCAGCATGACTCAGTGTAGTGGGAACCACAACCAAAAATGTTGCATTAAAAGTAATGATGACAAATGTAGAGGAAAAGTACTGCAAACCCCCTCCAGAAACAATAGAGTTTAAAGAAGCAGCAAACTTGCTGCACAAAACAGATGCGGGCCAGTTTGTTAGGGGAATTGTCCACCAAGTCAGATGGGAATGCATTATACTTACCTATGTAAATATACTCCTGTTCTATAATATAGTAACATTTTACAGTCATGGCATGAATGACCTCTTTGCCCCCACTGTCTTCTAGGGATCCTGTTATCACTTTACCAAATTGGTCTGATCCAATACTTGACTTGATCATTATCCTCCTCTGGTGGTCTTTTGCACTTCTGTTTTGCTGATGGATTCTACAGCTTTTTCAGATTTTCTTATTTTTCTGACTATGCCTAAAAATGCTCCCCCATAAGTTAAGAGCAAGACAGGAGTGCAGCTCTGCCATAGTCCAGCATGTACCAGGAAAATGTCCAACTTAAAGGTATAGTGAAAGATTTTTGCAAACCTTTGAAAAGACCTGCCCTCTCCAATAAAAAAAAAAAGAAGCACATGCACAACCCTGTACCCGCTCCCGATAGAGAACGCTTATTAAGCTAGTATTAGAGCATGCATGTGTGATGACCAGAGAAGTGTCACATTTTGTGCTTATGAATGAAGATAAATTTTTTTTTTTATTTTGAATACAAACTACTGTATTTTATTTTGGAAAAATGTATCCCCAAAGAGTTTGCATTTCTTTATGCAGTGGTTTGATTTCTCATTCAATGTGTATGTTGTAATGTTTGCTCCATGCCAGCAGGGGGCGAGGGTGGGCCCCGGTTTTAGTGTCTTGCATTGGGTTTTCCCTCATTATTACTGCGTTATACTCGAAACTGACAAACCGTCTCCTCATCTCTCTCCTGTTTGTCAGGTTAATAAATGTACAAATATGCTTTGAAACTAGGTATAAGCCGTGTTGAAATGTATTGGGGATGTTAATGGACCGTTTGGTGTTGTAATTTTCGACAGAGATTTTTTGTGATTTTGTTTGAAGTAAGTTTGAAACATGGCGGCAAAGTCTAGCCGTTTAACAATGCAGTGATCATGCACGATCTGCATGGTAGTGGAGACCAACTCAGTTTAATACACACGCCTCCCCCACGTGAATGTATGCCTCAGTAATGTTTGAGAAGCTTACAGTGTCAATGTCTATTGTTTATTTTGCTGTCTCTAAGGTCCCAACCATTAGTTTTGTAAGGGGTTTTGTTAATTAGGTTCATGAAGGAAAAAAGGTCACTGTTGAAATGAGTTTCAAGCCTTGTTTTGGCTTAGAGAAAATACAAATTGAACCGGACAAATGGTCCGCCCCTTAGGAATGGGGTTCATTTGGGTTCTTTGTTAGTCTGCAATACCTGATAGTGGTTTCTGCCTTTAAAAAAGGGGTTGTTAGGGGGAATTGTTGGCCTGGCTGAACAGGTGAGATAGTCTGGTCACCTGTATGTGGCTGGGGGTTGCAACGATAGTGGGAAGGAATATACTCTATTGCTGCATTGTAGGTTTTTGAAAGCTGAATCCTGAGTCCACCCTCTCTGTTAAAAGGTTGTTTTTTTTGTTTCTTAACATAGATGGCTTGCGTCACACCCCTCTCAAACCCCGTGTCTACTTTGTCCAAAATGTGAACATTCTGGTCCTTAAAAGAATGTCCTTTGTCCATAAAGCCGGGCATACACTATACGATTTTTTGCCCTTTTTTGGCCGACTCTCCAGTCATGCCAGGATTTTTCTATCGGGCTGAGTTTCAGCCACATTGTGCGTCCTGCATCGTGTAGTATACAGGTGGTAACAAGGGGCGATCAGCCTCTCATTTCCACCTCCCGAACAGGAATCGTAAGGTCGTCAGAAAATCAGACTTTCAAATTCAGTGAGCCGTTGTACGGTGGTCGAGGGCAAATCTTGCTGTTGAATCAAAGCTACGACTGTCGACGAGCCGATTTACCACAACCTTCGAACACTGCGCATGTGCAAACAAGGGTAATTTATAAATGATTTGAATCAGGTTGGGTCCGGATTAGCCAGCAGGTGGGTCCGGATCTGGACCACGGTCCGCTAATCTGTGACCTCTGCTCTAGGGGCTCATGGTTGATAGTTCTTACAATATCAAACCTCCAAGTTACAGTAATTGTTTTTTACCCACAATGCATTACCAAATACAGGTATGCCTCATAAAACAAAACAAGTAGCCTACATAATGTATAATTTTTTTTTGATACGGCACTAGTGGTTTGTTTTTATGGAAAGTAGGCTGACAGAAAGGGAGGGTATTAGAGTATTAGAGGATGCGGGAAAAGACCACAGATCAGATTTGAACCCTGGTTGCTCACGTCCAGGGCTAAGGCCTCCAGACATGGGTCGTGTGCGTTAACCACTGTGCCACCAAAGCATGCTGGTAATGTATACATTTTTACATATTGTTGCCTGCTAATTAGATAGCTCTTGATCCACTCCAAATCGACCTGCCATACACTATAATCTTCCAATTTCCTGATGAATATTGTGATTAACTGTGTCAGATGCTTTTTATAGTACAACTGATCATTTTTAAAGCTATTTTTATGAATGGAGCTGCTGACTTCCTGTATTAATTCCAGAACTGCCAAAGCTGTAGATCTCTGTGATCTAGAGCCACGTTGCTTGTGGAGGTTCCTGCAACTATTTTAGTGTCGGTGTTTTAAAGTTTCTTTCACACAGCATATCTATTTTAGGGTGTTTGCTAATATTGGCGCACACACCTAGTTAACACCCTATGAACAGTGTTTGAAGATCACTAACTATATTTTGTATGCTGAGGTTGAAAGAACAAGCTGGGGGAGCAAATAAGGTGTAACACCAGGAAGTGAAACTGGGGATTGACTCTGGAGAAGCTGTCAAACACTCAAAAATCCACTGTTTTAAAATACATGTTTGTTTTTGAATGTCTTAGTTTCATAGTTGTCTTGTAGTTATTATTTGTAGGTTTGACTTTGTTGTCTAGCTTTATTTATTGTTTG